CCCCGCTGCAGCCACGCCGCGCCCGGGGTTTCCCCCTCCTTCTCGCGAGGGGTGGGGATCCGAGGTTCGTAGCCAGTGGGAGCCTCTTTCTCAACCTTACAGCGGGGGGACTTCCGCGTCCCGCAGGTGGAGAAACCGAGGCTCCAAGCAGGCTACTGCCTGTGGCCCGGGGGTCCCCACCCATCCTCTCGCAATCCACCCCAACCCAGGTGAGGTGCAACTAGCTTTACCTGGGAGTCGCCGATAGGAAGGAGGGAGGGGACCCAGACGTGCCTCTGCCCTGCCTGTGGTCCGCCCGCTGGTATCCTCTGCCCAGGGACCCCTGGCCGGACCTTCCCTTTTAACCCTGAGGAGTCCGGAAGCTTCTCCGCCCTCCCCTACCCCCACCCCCGGGCTCCCTCCCTCCCTTTCCCTCTGTCTAATTATACCGTGGGTGAGGCTGGCACTCCTGGGTCCCAGATTCCTGCTCTGGGAGGGGCCCTGGAATACAGGCTTCTCCCAGTGCCCGAAACACCCCCTTTTCATCCCTTTTGGAACTGGCTTCCGTGGGGATTCCCCGGATCCAGGTTCCAAGAAGGCTTCCCAGGTGCAGGGAGAGGGTTCATGTCCCCAGGAAGGCTGGGGGTGGCGGGATGAGACGCCACTGAGAAAGAGGAAATCAACGGGAAGTGCATACCTAGAGTGACAATGTGAGAAGCCAGAATGTGGAAGAGGAAGGAGGAAGGCCCAGAGATAAAGCAGGTTGAGTAGGAGGGACAGAGGCTGGCTTGGAAAGGGAGATTGTAACAAACCAAGGCTAAAGGAGCCAGAGAGAGAGAGAGAGAGAGAGAGGGGGAGGGAGGGAGGCGCCCAGGCTAAGAAAAACAGAAACAAGGAAAGAGGGAAACCCACGCCCGCCCTGTGGCTGTGAGCTCTGTGTGTGTCCCAGTGACTAGCCCGTGTGTGTGTTGGGGGGCTGTGGCTTTGCCTCATACCCGTGTGCAGCCATCTCACATCCTCCCTGCCATCTGTGTGCCACCAGGTGCCACACAGGCCCCTGAATCACAGGAGGTCAAAGCTGCGAGGGGCATCAGCATCACCTCAGCCAACTCTCTCATCTCAGGTGAGGCATGAGAGGCTCAGAGAGGGCAGACTCACACGAGGTCACACAGCAAGTCCACTTAACAACCAGAAGGCCCTGGTTCCGCTCTGGGCTCCTACTGCTCATGCCAGCCACCTCTCCTGCGAGGTGAGCCAACCGTCCCAAAAGATCCTGAGTTGGCCAGGCGCAGCGGCTCATGCCTATAATCCCAGTGCTTTGGGAGGCCGAGGCAGGCCGATCATGAGGTCAGGAGTTCAAGGCCAGCCTGGCCAACATAGTGAAACCCCATCTCTACTAAAAATACACAAAAATTAGCTGGGGATGTTGGCGCGGGCCTGCAGTCCCAGCTTCTAGGGAGGCTAAGGCAGGAGCATCGCTTGAACCTGGAAGGCAGAAGTTGTAGTGAGCCGAGATCGCGCCACTGCACTCCAGCCTGCATGACACAGCAGGACTGCGTCTCAAAGAAAAAAAACAAAAAAACAAAAAAAGATCGTGAGTTCTGGATTCTCTCTGTGGGACATCCTCTTCAGAGGCCATCTAACTCAGTGTTGCCCAGCTGAACTTTCTGCAGTGATGTTTTATATGCACTAGCTAATCCAGACACCACCACCCATGTGTGGAAATATCAGCCTTGGAGATACCACAAATGAGACAGAGGAGTTACATTTCTGGCTTTATGTAATTTTAATTGGAAGAGCCATGTGCGGTTAGTGGCTACCAGATTGGCCAGCAGAGGTCTCCACTACCTAATTACCTATCATGGAAGTTGGAGAAAAACAATGATAAACTCCTTTGGTTAGGTCTTAGTATGTGCAAGCTGACTGACTTCTTTACTTACTGTGTTATACTTTTGCATGCACAGTTATATAGGAAAGGAAACAAACAGAGCCTTACTCCAGGCACATCACTTGGTAGTTAAGAGATCACCTCAGGTCGGGCGCGGTGACTCACGCCTGTAATCCCAGCACTTTGGGAGGCCGAGACGGGTGGACCACGAGGTCAGGAGATCGAGACCATCCTGGCTAACACGGTGAAACCCCGTCTCTACTAAAAATACAAAAACTTAGCCGGGCGTGGTGGCGGG